CTATGAAGTTTTAAAGATTTAACTGCTTTCCTAATCTTTTTAAAAGTCCTGCCATCAAAGCCATGGAGGAAACCTAAATGCTAAGTGAAAGCGGCGATCTGCAAAGGCTCCATAGCGTGTGAATCCACTGGAAAAGGCAATGCCATGCAGAGAGCAAAAAAGATCAGAGTTGCCACGGGATCCAGGGGAGGGAGGATGCCCAGGCAGAGCGCAGGGTTTCAGGACCAGCAGCTACGCTGTGTGACACTGTCATGGTGGAGCCAGGTCATGGTGTGTTTGTCAAAATCCATAAAAAAGTGCACCACCAGCTGGAAAAGATCATGCTTAGTGAGGTAAGCCAGAAAGAGAAAGAAAAATACCGGATGGTTTCGCTCATAGCAGGCGTATAATGGACCAGGCGAGAAAATACAAGAATAATGAACAACCATATACCAGAGACATTTTGCGGGGGTGGAGTGGGGAATGGGATCAAAAACGGAGGTGGGGAGGGAGGTGCACTGGATTATGGTGATGGCACATGGGTGACTTGGTGATGGGAAACCCGCGGGGATTACAACTGAGATGGCAAAAAAATGTACAAAATGATGTAAAAATAAACTATTATTAAAAAAAAAAAAGTGCACCACCGAGGGCACCCTGGTGGAGACCACAGATTTAGTTAGTAATGATGTCAACATCATCTCATCGATTGAAACCATGTACGCACTAATGCCCCATGGAAGGGGCGCCGGAACTGGTATTTTCTGCTCGATTTTCCTGTAAACCTAAAACTGCTCTAAAACATAAAGTCTATTAAGGAAAATAGATTTCTGCGCTGCCCTGGCAACATCGCTGGGATATGTTGCTGACATGCGAATGTACAGCCACAGAGATACTGGAACTATCGGGAAGGGCGGCATACTCACTCCCTGAAATGGATGCTAAAAAAAAAAAAGATACAACCCACAGGAACCTAATTCGTCTGCTGCCTTTCATCCTAAGTCCTCCAGGTACGCAGTCGTGAACAGGCTTTCCAGCACTGGAAATGCTTCACCCAGTACAAGATTGCTTTAGTCTTTCAGTTGCTTTGAAGCAATATGCTAAAGTGCCTCCAGGAGGCGCTG